TCTGAAATCGTACTAGAAATCTTCTCTTATCCTGCTATCGTGCTAGAATCCTCTCTTATCCTGCTATCCTCCTTTTTCGAAACACAGCCGAAACGGCAAAACACCACCTAATTTCGTTCCGAAAATGACGCAAAATCAATCACAAGAACAAGTTCCCTGGAGGCCGGAACGTCCCTTCTGAAATCGTACTAGAAATCCTCTCTAACCCTGCTATCTCTTATCCTGCTATGCTGCAGGCTTCCAAAATGTACCCCTCGCCACACCGAAACACCATGGCCCTGAAGGACGGAACGACCTCCAAATCAATCGCAAGAACAAGTTCCCTGGGGGCCGGAACGTCCCTTCTGAAATCGTACTAGAAATCCTCTCTAATCCTGCTATCCCTTCTCCTGCTATCCTGCTAGAATCCTGCTAGAAATCGAATCCAATCCAATCCATCCAATGTTGACGTCCCTTCTGGATCTTGTTAACAACAAAGCAACTGCTGCTGCAGGCTTCCAAAATGTACCCCTCGCCACACCGAAACACCATGGCCCTGAAGGACGGAACGACCTCCAAATCAATCGCAAGAACAAGTTCCCTGGGGGCCGGAACGTCCCTTCTGAAATCGTACTAGAAATCCTCTTTAATCCTGCTATCCCTTCTCCTGCTATCCTGCTATAATCCTGCTAGAAATCGAATCCAATCTAATCCATCCAATGTTGACGTCCCTTCTGGATCTTGTTAACAACAAAGCAACTGCTGCTGCAGGCTTCCAAGGCGTACCCCTCGCCACACCGAAACACCATGGCCCTGAAGGACGGAACGACCTCCAAATCAATCGCAAGAACAAGTTCCCTGGGGGCCGGAACGTCCCTTCTGAAATCGTACTAGAAATCCTCTCTAATCCTGCTATCCCTTCTCCTGCTATCCTGCTAGAATCCTGCTAGAAATCGAATCCAATCCAATCCATCCAATGTTGACGTCCCTTCTGGATCTTGTTAACAACAAAGCAACTGCTGCTGCAGGCTTCCAAAACGTACCCCTCGCCACACCGAAACACCATGGCCCTGAAGGACGGAACGACCTCCAAATCAATCGCAAGAACAAGTTCCCTGGGGGCCGGAACGTCCCTTCTGAAATCGTACTAGAAATCCTCTCTAATCCTGCTATCCCTTATCCTGCTATCCTGCTAGAATCCTTCTAGAAATCGAATCCAATCCAATCCATCCAATGTTGACGTCCCTTCTGGATCTGGCTAAAAACAAAGCAACTGCTGCTGCAGGCTTCCAAAACGTACCCCTCGCCACACCGAAACACATGGGCCCTGAAGGACGAGAACGACCTCCAAATCAATCGCAAGAAAACAAGTTCCCTGGAGGCCGGAACGTCCCTTCTGAAATCGTACTAGAAATCCTCTGCAATCCTGCTATCCCTTATCCTGCTATCCTGCTAGAATCCTGCTAGAAATCTAATCCAATCCAATCCATCCAATGTTGACGTCCCTTCTGGATCTTGTTAACAACAAAGCAACTGCTGCTGCAGGCTTCCAAAACGTACCCCTCGCCACACCGAAACACCATGGCCCTGAAGGACGGAACGACCTCCAAATCAATCGCAAGAACAAGTTCCCTGGAGGCCGGAACGTCCCTTCTGAAATCCTACTGGAAATCCTCTCTAATCCTGCTATCCCTTCTCCTGCTATCCTGCTAGAATCCTTCTAGAAATCGAACCCAATCCAATCCATCCAATGTTGACGTCCCTTCTGGATCTTGTTAACAACAAAGCAACTGCTGCTGCAGGCTTCCAAAACGTACCCCTCGCCACACCGAAACACCATGGCCCTGAAGGACGGAACGACCTCCAAATCAATCGCAAGAACAAGTTCCCTGGGGGCCGGAACGTCCCTTCTGAAATCGTACTAGAAATCCTTTCTAATCCTGCTATCCCTTATCCTGCTATCCTGCTAGAATCCTGCTAGAAATCGAATCCAATCCAATCCATCCAATGTTGACGTCCCTTCTGGATCTGGTTAAAAACAAAGCAACTGCTGCTGCAGGCTTCCAAAACGTACCCCTCGCCACACCGAAACACCATGGCCCTGAAGGACGGAACGACCTCCAAATCAATCGCAAGAACAAGTTCCCTGGGGGCCGGAACGTCCCTTCTGAAATCGTACTAGAAATCCTCTCTAATCCTGCTATCCCTTCTCCTGCTATCCTGCTAGAATCCTGCTAGAAATCGAATCCAATCCAATCCATCCAATGTTGACGTCCCTTCTGGATCTTGTTAAAACAAAGCAACTGCTGCTGCAGGCTTCCAAAATGTACCCCTCGCCACACCGAAACACCATGGCCCTGAAGGACGGAACGACCTCCAAATCAATCGCAAGAACAAGTTCCCTGGGGGCCGGAACGTCCCTTCTGAAATCGTACTAGAAATCCTCTCTAATCCTGCTATCCCTTATCCTGCTATCCTGCTAGAATCCTTCTAGAAATCGAATCCAATCCAATCCATCCAATGTTGACGTCCCTTCTGGATCTGGTTAAAAACAAAGCAACTGCTGCTGCAGGCTTCCAAAACGTACCCCTCGCCACACCGAAACGCCATGCCACTGAAGGCTGCGGCTGCCTGCCTGCTGCTGCCTGCTGCACCCTGCTGCTGCCTGCTGCTGGTGCAGCTGCTGGTGGCTGCTGCTGCTGCTGTGGTGCTGCTGTGGTGCTGCTGTGGTGCTGCTGCAATCAAACAGCCTCCAAAGCAAGAAACAAACAGCCAGACACCCTTTTCGAAACATCCGAAACAGCAAAACAACACCTAATTTCGTCCCCAAAACATAGCAAAGGAACCCCCCAAAAATTGAAACTTTGCCGCTGCCTGCTGCTACCTCCTCCTACTTGTGGACCGCACAAGCAACAAAAGCACCTGCCAACAGCTGGCTGCTCTGCTACTGCTACTTGTGAGCGAAATCATTCGCAATAACAAGCTCCCCGGAGGCCGGCTTTACTTCTCCTGCTGTTGCTGCTGCTGCGCCGGCTGCGGTAGTAGTCCGAAACAAGAGTCAAAAGTATTATTCCCTGGCGCGCTCCCCCTCGCGTCTGCCGGGGTCGGCGGATATATAGTACTGTATAGTACTGGCTGCCTGCTGGCTGCTGCAAAAACGTGGGTCCCGGACAGGGAAACACCATAGCAGTGAAGGACGGAGGCAGCTGCAGCTGCAGCTGCCGCTGCTGGTGCTGTCGTCCGCTGATGCTGCTGCTGCTGCTGCTCTTGCTGTTCCTGCGCTGCTGCCTGGCTGCTGCTGCTCCTGCCGTGCCATCAACCAGCCTCCAAGGCGAGAAACCAACAGCCAGACATCTTTTTCGAAACTCACTCGAAACAGCAAAACACCACCTAATTTCGTGCCAAAAATGGCGCAAAATCGCAGCAAAAAAGTGCCTAACGTGTCTTCTGAAATCCTAGAGAATCCTAGAGAATCCTAGACTATACATCCTAGAAAATCTTAGATTATATATAGTACTGTATAGTACTGGCTGCCTGCTGGCTGCTGCAAAAACGTGGGTCCCGGACAGGGAAACACCATAGCAGTGAAGGACGGAGACAGCTGCAGCTGCAGCTGCCGCTGCTGGTGCTGTCGTCCGCTGATGCTGCTTGCTTGCTGCTGCTGCTTGCTGCTCTTGCTGTCCTGCGCTGCTGCTGCTCCTGCCGTGCCATCAACCAGCCTCCAAGGCGAGAAACCAAACAGCCAGACATCTTTTTCGAAACTCACTCGAACAAGCAAAACACCACCTAATTTCGTGCCAAAAATGGCGCAAAATCGCAGCAAAAAAGTGAAGTAACGTGTCTTCTGAAAAAAACTAGAGAATCCTAGAGACTATACATCCTAGAAAATCTTAGACTATATATTAGTAATGATTTAGTACTGGCTGGCCTTGCTGGCTGCTGCAAAAACGTGGGTCAAGGAAGGGAAACACCATAGCAGTGAAGGACGGAGGCAGATGCAGCTGCAGCTGCCGCTGCTGCTGCGCTGCTGCCTGCTGCTGCTGCTGCTGCTGCTGCTGCTGCTCTTGCTGCTGCTGCGCTGCTGCTGCTCCTGCCGTGCCATCAACCAGCCTCCAAGGCGAGAAACCAACAGCCAGACATCTTTTTCGAAACTCACTCGAAACAGCAAAACACCACCTAATTTCGTGCCAAAAATGGCGCAAAATCGCAGCAAAAAAGTGCCTAACGTGTCTTCTGAAATCCTAGAGAATCCTAGAGAATCCTAGACTATACATCCTAGAAAATCTTAGACTATATGTAGTACTGTATAGTACTGGCTGCCTGCTGGCTGCTGCAAAAACGTGGGTCCCGGACAGGGAAACACCATAGCAGTGAAGGACGGAGGCAGCTGCAGCTGCACGCTGCTGGTGCTGTCTTCCGCTGATGCTGCTGGTGCTGTCTTCCGCTGATGCTGCTGCTGCTGCTGCTCTTGCTGTTCCTGCGCTGCTGCTGCTGCTGCCGTGCCATCAACCAGCCTCCAAGGCGAGAAACCAACAGCCAGACAGCTTTTTCGAAACTCGTCGTCGTCGTAGTAGTAGTAGTGTAGTAGTAGTAGTAGTAGTTGTTGTTGTTGTAGTTGTTGTAGTAGTAGTAGTATTAGTAGTAGCAGTAGCAGTAGCAGTAGCAGTAGCAGTAGCAGTAGCAGTAGTAGTAGCAGTAGTAGTAGTAGTAGTAGTAGTCCGACAAGAGTCAAATGTCTTATTCCCTGGCGCGCTCCCCCTTGCGTCTGCCGGGGTCGGCGGATATTCCCTAAATACCCTTGTTGATCTTCCCAATTGAATGTAAAGTCTAACGTTTGATATCCCCAAGTGTACAGCATAGAAGGGGTGTGGGCGAATCGGTGTGTTTGCGCGTAATATTAGTAATATACATTGTATGCATCTGAGCATTTTTTTCCAGAGGATCATGTCTTTTTCTGGTCCTTTGTGGTCTTTTCGCATCCAAATATGCCGCTGCCCATTGCACCTCAGAGTTGACTCCGCATGGACTCCCACAGGTTGCAGCTTGCCGACTCAGCAGCTGATGCCAGAAGACTGTTTTCAAACTTGGACTTTACCAGACAGCAAATCGAGGCAAGTCCACTGTTTGTTTTTTGACAAGTGATGTCAAAAGTATTCAAACGCCCAATAGCAGTTTCTGAAATTTCTGAAACCTCAAGAGAACTTGATGTTGTTTGCAGGATTTTGAGCGATTGGTGGCGAGGTTGCGCGAGGCGCTGCCGTAGCAGCATCAACTTTCAGATAACCATTGCCGTTCAGCAGTTTTGACTTTATCAAGTCTTAGATCCACAAAGATTACTTGAAGGCTTACTGTAAATGTCAGATATCTACAGATGTCTGAGATAGGGGCAAGCAGAATGTATCATATTTCAAAGCTGAATCCAGAACACATTTTGATGCCCCATGTAGTTGAAACTCATGTTATTTGAACATCTTCACTGTGGGTAAGACAGACAAGATCATCTTGAAGCAAGATGAAGTAAATGTACAAGATAGCATCGAGTGAAGCTGTTGGACTCTGTTGGTCAAGTCACACAACGTGCCGTCAGCTTGATAATTCACAGAGGCCAGAAGTGTGTACAGCAAAGTGGAGCTTGAGATGGCAAAGGCGTCGAGGGAAGGCTGGGATCGTAACTGTTCACCAGGTCGAGATAGGTCGGCAGAGCATATTTTCTGCAGATATCTGCGCAGGCAATGCCGATCTGGAAACGCAAGAGTCTGATCGAGTGCGTGCTGCTGACCTCTCAGAGAAAGTGAGGACCGTCATGGTATTGGCATTTTGTTGTCCAGTCACAGTGCAGTGAAATGCAGCAAGTCATTCAGTTTCAAGTTCCAATGTTATATATTTAATATATGATATCATATAATCTATATGATAATTTTTATATGTCTGATGGATGATAGACATGCATCTTTAAAAGATACTTCTGATGATTTCTGCGGAACTGTCAGGAGGGCAAGTCGCAGAAAGCAAGATCTGCAGGGAAAGCAACAGTTGCTCTTGGCACAGCATCGCCAGGCATGTGAACCGTGCAACAGACTTTCCTTGTGTCCGCGCGCGCACACCACTACAGTTAGAAGCTGTTACTATAGAATACTATATATAGATATGTTTCATGCTCTCAATATCTTTCGATCCCAGATTATTCCGTTGTTGTGCGGTTTCCAGGCTGAACAAGACAGAAACTACGCTCGCAAGGCATAAGTTGTGCAATCCCTGTACAAGTGGCATTTGACACAATCCACTTTGTCATTCACAAGCGGAGAATATCAGCGCTGCACACCTTTCAGGCCCTTGATGATGCTTGCAAAAAGCTTCTGGACATTCAGGTTCGTAGCATTTTGTAATATGGAAGAACATCGAAGAACATCGAGGAAACAATAGGAAACATGTTTTTCGGCCTGGGTTGAACAGCTCAGATTCTTGAACAGGCTCATCGCCTCCAAGTTTGCCAAGAACGCCACAAAGCAGCACAGGAGGACCATGCATTCGATGCATTCCTCCATGATTCTTTCTGCTTTTTTCTGCTTTCCATTTTTCCCCACAAAAGCTGCATAGATCAAGTCACGCTCTCACACTGAGTTGGACTATGCAATCAGTTCTACGTGTTTTGCAAACTTGGATTTGCTTCCAACTGCGGGCCGCAGGCTTTAAAGCTTGCCAAAGACTGTGGCTTGGGGCCTTCAGTGCTAAAGGACAGGTCCTTGGCAGATTTTGAACTGTGCAGAAGTCAACATGCTTTGGACCCAGGAGCTTTGCCGATTCTCGGCAGAGAGCAGCTTGCGGAAATCTGATCGCAAGGAAATCACTTCGCACAGGGGTTTGGCTGGGCTGCCATTTGATGTCATTTGAAGATATGTGTCATACAATAGATAATCAATAGATTCAATAGATAGTATACACACATCTGACATATGTTTGATCCTATCTCTCCTATGTAGAGCCTACGTTGTGAGCGGTGGCCATACGCAGGATCTGAAGCGATCACAAAGTGGGGTCCCTTTAGGTCAGCCTTCGTGGTCAAGAGCTCAGGAGGTGATGGAAGATAGAGACGATTTGCAACAAAGAGCATTGGGGATGTCATGCAATATGATGTAATATGATGGAATATGATGTAACAATGATATAACATGATGTGATATGATGTAATATGATAATTGGATGTAATATGCTCTTGGCCTCCATGTCGTTTATTGACATTTAATTTTAAGTTAACCAAGGCAGCCATCGCCAGGCAGCTGTCGATCAAAAATGGAAGAGATGTGCCAAGTCTGCCAAATCCAAGTCGTGAAGTAAACGCTTGGGCCGCTTGGGCAGGCGAAGGCCCTGCTGAAAATGGTTGGGCTCTCTTTGGCGCAGGTGCGAGACCGCATGAAGCGATGCCCGATGACGATTCGTGAAACTGCTCGTTTGGCTGTGGAGGTCGTGATGCAGCTGCTGAGATTGTGGTGACAGCCTCAAACATCCTACGCCCTGTCAATTTATAATATTTATATATAGCATATATATATATATGCATATATAGCCCATTTTGATCAGATCCACGGATGCCAGCTTAAAAGTCAAAGGTCCTTCCTGTGAAGAATCCAAGCATCAAGATCTGAGGTCAGTGCAGTGAAAGGTTGATGCAAAAAGGAAATAAAAGGAACAAGCGGTCCGATTGTTTGACTTTGCTCTAGGGGTATCTGCTGCTGCAGATTTGACACGGACAGACAGTCTCCATGTCCGAATGTTTTGGCCCAAAAACACAGCACTGTTTTCACTGGCATAACAGTCGTACGGCGTCTTGAACCCATCGAGTTCCAAACTTTTTTAGGCTTGCGTTTATGCCTTTCTTGCCACATTCACAGGCAACTGAAGTCTCAGATTAGTTTCAAGCCAACTTCAAATAACAAAAACGTAGCTAGACGGAGGTAGCCAAAGGCTCTCCAAGTAACAAGCAATTTTTGCTTCGCACTTGCAAGTCAGAGGCTTACTGATGTTTGAAGGAGGGTTTGCTCTAGAAATGTACTATTGCAATTTGGGGATGGATACTGCAGATACTCCTGATACTTCTGCTGCCACTGCGTTTTGGCTGAGTTACGCCAGCATGAACTCATCTTGCTGATCGGATGCCCTGGTGCCAGTTGAGGTCATGCAGCGGCCGGGTGGTTGGAACACACAACCGCCCCAAGCTTCCAGGCTCAGACTACAAAATGCTTCAAAATCACTCCAGCAATCCAGCACCAATCATTTTCCGATTTTATATTCATCATTGGGATGTTCTCCTTTCATTTCTTTGTGTCACCTTTTTCTTGATATGATGGACTCGGTGTTAGCTGCTGACCTTTTCCGATTCCTGGCAGGCCCTTCGGACAAGGCGAACTACAGCAGTTGATGACAATGCCTTAGTGACATTTAGTGACAAGATAGCCTGACAGATCCTGACAGGTGGTTTGACAATGCCTTTTGAGACAGATCCACTTGATTCCAGACGGTTGTTGTTGCAGGTTAAGGTTAGATCTTGCTGTATAGAAGATTAAAATTCAAATAATTGCAGTTGGTTGTTGCCAGATGTTTCTGCCGGGGCTGAGGCAGGCAGGATTCCAGCAAGATGCGTTCTGCTTGCCCAATATGTTAGATGGCGGTGATCGTTTTCCAACGAACAGAAGTCCTAGGGTCTCAAGACCGACCACGCCCACTGGCAATCGTACTCCAGGAAACCGAACTCCAATCGGAAATCGGCCCCCAGTGGCAGTAGGCAACCGAACCCCAACAGGGAATCGGACACCGGTGGGAAACCGGACGCCAACAGCAGGAACTCGGACTCCGGTCGGTGTGATCAGAGGTCCAGGGAATGGGCCATTTGTTCCAGCCATGCCTTCAATGCCGAGCCATCCACCAATTGGTCCACCACCTTCGATGCCACGCCCTATGGAGATGATGCCAAGTGGTGCGCGAACACCACCCCGAACAGGGGCAAGGACGCCTACGACACCACTTCACCCAGGCACCCCTTGTCGGATTATGCAGACTCGAAATGGTGCCACCACCCCTCCAGTGACGACGTTTGGGCTGCAAGGGCCGCCTGCAAGAAGTTACTCTGGTAAAGGTGGCACCCCTAGGAGAAATGGTGGAGTCACGCCACCGCTGTTAACGCCAAATGCCTCAGTCCCATATTTGGGGCCAGAGATTGCCAAGCGATTTGACAGCAGTGATGATGGCATCATTGTGGATGGTCGCTGGGCAACTGCAGGTTCGCCAAGTTCATTTCAGCAAATGCCTTCGGTGAAGGATGCATTTTACATACAGGATGCACCTGTGCCAACAGGACCCAAGGCGTTGCCTTGGTTGCCATCCAGAACAACTCAGAACCCTGACTTCAAAATGTTAACCCAGGAAAAGTTCCTGGAACGGCTGGATGCAGTTTGTGACAGCTTCCAGCCTTTGGATAGTGCTACCACGTACTTGATTGAAGTGAAAGGAGACGAAGCAGCCCAGTCTCCTCGAGCGTTTCAACTTGCCAATGCTGAAGGAGCCCTAAGCAGATTGGTGGAGGAAGCTATGTGGAGTGGTCCAATTCGGCATATGGCAATTTGTGTTTTGGCTCAGAGAGTGATCATGTTGACTGATTCCATCAGATCCGACGCAGACAATGCTCCGGGAGGTCGGGAACTGATGGTCGCCTTGTTGTCATCTGTGAAGCAGATGTGTGCGGCCAATACTGGAGACATTTCGTGGAGCCGAAATGACAAGTTTAGTGGTCGAATAGTTCTGCTTCTTGGATCTGCAAGTTGTACTGGTGAGCAATTACTGAAGGACTGCGGCGAACGCTATAGAGAAATAGATCAAAACTGCATGTTGATTGCAGTTTCTATGGGTGCTGAACCAGCAGGCTCTGCTCAACTGGGCAAAACCATTGCTTGTGCCGTCAATGCATGGGGGGAGGCTGAAGCCAGAAATGGACCTCCTGGTACTACTGGTGGCGCTGGTCGACCTGAACTGTTGATTCACCTTTTCGGAGGGGCCGGGTTTGCTGCTTGGGCAAAGATTCTGAAGCTGTGGCAAGAGCAATCGCATTTCCCAGACGAAAAGCGGCTCCTCGGAAGAATGCTACCCTTGGAGCGGATCTTGAAGGGTGTTGTCCTCGATTCAGCGCCAGGCGGAATCCGAATTGCCGAATTGAATCAACATGAATCAACCATACTTCTGGAAGGTTTGGAAAGATGTGGCAAGATGTGGCAAGCACTTTCCCATACTTTCACTTTCATGTTCTTTCATGTTCTTTCATGTTCTTTCTCGTTTGTGTTTTGGATTTGGATATGTGTTTTCCCGCAGCTCCAAAATAGCTACTTGGAGTCTCCCAAGACATGCCAGGCGACTCTGGCAACACGGTGATGGGAGCTTTCCCGATGGTACAGGGAGATGCAGCCCTGTTGTCAGTCCAGCCCTCAGCTGATGTGGTCATTGATGTGCACAGTATTGCACAGTTGCAACTAGCACTTGCACATAATTTGCACATCATATCGTACCACGCTAGGTATCAATGATGAAAGATGCTCTGTCAATTTCAAATAAATTTCAAATGGGCAGAATATGGCAGAATGTCAATCAACTATCAAAGGGAACCATGTTTGGCATTGATTTTGTATGGCAACTGCCCAGAGCGGCAATGAGCCAATGGCAACTACAAATTGTTTTGCTGAGGCAATGAACTCCTTTGGAGCGGATGGGTCCCAGCCATCAGAGGCAACAGTGGGGGCCGTTGCGCAGCAGTCTACAGATGTCTGGGGATATCAAGCTTTCCAGTGCTTTCCAACAAAATATGTTTCTTATAGTTTCCATTATAGTTTCCATTGTAGTTTCTATTATAGTTTCTATACAGAGATCTAGAGTCTCTCTGCAAATTTTACAAGTCTGATGCGTTCATAAACGACTCCAATGTCTTGCGGCTGTGACCCTGCCAACACCCTCACGGCTTGTGAGGCACAAAAGTTGCAGGCACGTTTGCAAATGTCATATTTTGGCGATCAAGACATCATAAGACATCAGACTGAAAGCAGCACCCACTGGCCCACTGGGCACCCATTCCAAGCGGCAGGCTACACAGAGGGCAATGAGAGATTTGACTAAGAAGGGTGGACCCCTCTGGGAATACTACGAGAGTATCATCGCGCAGGACAGCCGATAAGTCGCGAAAAATTGACAAAATGGACACTTTGCTGTCGCTACTTGAAAGGGATGGTCTTGCAGCCGCCTTTCAGACACAGTGATCTGCAACTGCCAGGATCAGGGTTTGCCACTGCAGGTCCATCAGTATGAGCCCACGGTTCCTCTACTCTTCATCTTCTCTGATGCAGATAAGTCTCCCAGCATTTACATTCATTTTCATCTTGTCAAGTGTCTTTTGGGTCTTCTGTGTCTGGTGGTATGATGTGATTGCAATATGTTAATGTTGCAACATGTTATACTTTATCACAGAGTTCCGAGCAAGCTATAGCAAGCTACTCACCAAGGATCGCGCCAGCTTTCCAAATAGAACGATACGTTTTTGAGTGTGAGCTTCGCCAAGCGCAAAGAGTATCGGAGAATGGGCTTTCACCTGTGCAAGCCTCACCGAAGCACAAACTGGATCAAACTGGCAGACAAAAAAACCTCTTGCAGACAATGATAAGAACAATGGAGACAATCTAGACATACAGATTCAGACAGTCAAGAAGTCAAGACGGATAAGAACTGCCAGGTGCCTGTACCACGGGTACTTCATCTGGAGACCTCAGCACATGTGTCACATCGTGCCGGACCTACGGAGGCACTTTGTGCGTCGATGGCCGCAAGATCTCCTCAAGTAGACCAGATGTAGACTGCAAGATCTTCTTTGTTGCAGTTTCTGTGCCAGGCGGACTACTGGAAGAGTGTTCATGACTTTTGGAGATTTTCACTCTTCTGCTGAAGGGCTATGCTCCAAGTGCAGAATTGAGATACAGCTGGAAGCTGATCTTCTCAACTAATTGGTACAGCGGGTCAAGGAGTCAGTCATTAGATGCCACTTTCCTGTAATTGTTTGTTCAATCAAAGACTTATTCAAAAGTGGTCAAGCTATGTCCAGCTGAAGTCTTGCCTGTAGCAAATAGAATCCTCATGCACCAGGATTTGCACCTTGCCATACCCTTGAAAACAGGGAAAAATCTGGTTGATTGCGATAGTTTGCCATAGGATCAAATTGGATCAAGGAATGCAGCAAACGTCTTTTGAAGCCACTTAGCACGACTTGGTTATTGCGGTTATTGGTGCAAATCCTTGAAGTCCAATGGGACTTTTTTGTACATTCATGCTGCATTCATGCTTGCCAGCTCTGTTTCACTTTCAGAGATTTTCAAGGCAGTCAGGGGCTCAAAATCTATGCGGACGGAGATAGATGGAGCCATGACAAGTATAACTTCACAGTAAAGCGTGCAGTGTGTGACTTGATGTTGCTTCATATATCTTCATATTACTTGCAACTTCTTGGCTGAGGTCTCTCAAGATGAAGACATCCCTCTTTGCAAGCAGGCTGCCTCCGCTGCAACTCCGTCGCTTCCGAAAAGCAGGCTCGAGTCAATACCCGCTTGTTGAAGTCACTTGCCGAATGTGTCTGTGCCGGAGCGGGCTTGAAATACTTTCGCAGGATGGTTGATGGAACGGCATCTTCACAAAAATCTTTCTTACCAATGCATTTGACATAGAAAAATACAGAATATATGTATATATATATATACATATTTCTTATTTTTCAGGTAACCCTGGAATCATTTATATCTAAATAATAATGAATATTCCCCTAAATAAAATATTTTGATTTTAGGGGTCTAATTTTTTAATTATTTTCCTATTTGTCCTTTCTCAATTATTTTCCTGTAAAATTTTGGAATTAAAAAAAATAAAAAAATAAAAAAGAAATGATTAATTTCCTTACTAAACCCTTTCAACAAAAATATAAAAAAATATTGCGTAAAGGGGATAATTCTAAAAATTTAAATTATTTTTTTTAAATAATAATGAATATTTAGATTTTCCTAAATAAAAATAAATAACATATATTGATTTTAGGAATATAGAATTTTGGTGGTTGAATTCGTTTGTTTATTATTTTGTTATTTAAATAATTTATTTTTAAATATTTTTAATTGGAATGAATTTGGAAATATATATATTTTTTAAATATAATATATATTTATTTTTAATTAATATTTTTTTTAAAAATATTATATAGAAAGATATATATTTATTTATTTTTAATAATTATTATTTTTTAAATGTATTTATATAAAAGAATAATTTATTTATATATTTATTTGTAATTAGGTAATTTATTTGGTATTAAATAGGGTTGGAAAATTTTCGAATATTTTTTTATTAATTTGTTTTTTCTTTAAACAAATTTAATATTTAAGGGGCGGAGGGAGGAATTATTAATTTTATATTAAAATTAATTCGATTATATATTTTTTTTTTTACTGCTAAATAATTTAATTATATTTATTATTATTATAATATTTGTATTTTTATTTTATATTTTAATTTAAATATATATTTAGAATAGAAATAGGAACATCTTTAATTTGAATATATTTTATATTATATTTAATTTAAAAAAAAATCTTAAATAAA